CAGCGGTTTCGAGGGTCCCTGGACCTTTTCCCCAACTGTCCTGACCAACGACTACTACAAGCTGCTGCTCGACGAGAAGTGGCAGTGGAAGAAGTGGGAGGGTCCCAAGCAGGTTTGTCAAGAAATGTGTCTTGATTATGAAAGGAAACTGCTGACAAAGTGAAATAGTATGAGGACAAGACCACCAAGTCCCTCATGATGCTGCCCGCCGATATGGCTATCATTCAGGACAAGAAGTTCAAGGCCTACGTTGAGAAGTACGCCGCCGACAACGACGTGTTTTTTAAGGATTTCTCGACCGTCATTGTCAAGCTCTTCGAGCTTGGTGTGCCTTTCGCCGAGGGCACTGAGAACCAGAGATGGGTCTTCAAGACGTTCAATGCCTAAATGCAGCGTAACTGGCGGCGATAGAGGGAGTTCGGGCGTATACGACGTAGAGGACTTAGACAGACGCCCCGAAAGATTATTAGATGCGTTGAGTGGAGATGGCCTGGCCGGAGAGGAGTATACCCCGGAAAGTGCCATCTTGGAGAGGTCAATAAAGAAGACGGTAATGGATGTCTAGAACCGAAGACTTCTTCGGGTTCTCATACCCATCGCGGGGTAGCGGGTACGCTTATGCGAGAGCAACGTCAGCGGATGTCTTCAGATGCTTGTGTTGAATCAGATGGGTTTTCAGCATCCTGTAAATAACAGATTGGGCTTTGATATCACACTGCATTGGGATCTCTTGTCGTCGGGTATGTGTTTGAAGCGTAATGGGTGTTTGATGGCAGAATCTAATGGAGGAAGGTGGACGAGGTGAAGTTGGAAAGGGGGGCGGGGAAGCGGATGAGATGTACCCAGGTGTAAAGGCTATTTTATTTTCTCCAATTCCAAGGCACCGGCTCGGACAGCCCAGTGGGAATCATCACCAAACCTGGGCTTTGTTAGCATGAAGTGGTGTGCAACCCAAAGGCCTTCGCATGGTTCCCCGCATTCCCGTGCCACGACCCCCTAGTCCGCAGACGTTGATGATGCAGGCTCCCAGGTAAAAGTTTGTTGCCATTTATCAAGCCCCGTCGGGCCGTCTGTATGCGACTATTAGCCGCTATAGTCTACAATCAACGGAATGGAATGACACGCTGGGAAGTAGAAGTTTAGGGGGTGAGCTTTCCAAGAAGGGTTAGGGTTGTTAGCTGTCTGTCACCGACTTTGAACATATCGATAAGAGCTTTTTGCTGCCGACTCGACGATAAACTCGACTCGGCGACTCCCTCTGTTACCCCCCAACATCAAGCTAATTCGAGCCGCAATCATGGCAGCAGCTCGATCCTCAGCGCTGCGACACCTCACAAGCTGCTGTGCGCGTGCGCCCCGGGTGGTGTCACATCAGCAGCGCTGGGCGCAGGTTCACGATGTCCGCTTCCTCGCCACAACGCAGCATTCGCGCAGCGTGCTCGAAAAGTACCGCGACAAGCTCGACCGCAAGGCGCGCGAGGAGGGCCTCCCAGATATCGACACGCTCAAGCAAGCCTACGCCGACAAGATTGAGAAGCTCCGCAAGGAGGCCGATACAACAGTCTCGCCAGCACCATCACTCCCCACAACACCACCGACCTCGCCATCCAACGAGGCGTCCCCCCCCCGGACCCAATCCCAATCCGACACCAGAAGGACGTCTCCCTCTTCCTCGTCTACAATCAAACCTCTCTCCGCCATCCTCAACCTCCCCAAGGTCCGCGACCTTCCCGTCACGGAGCTGACGGCCATCTGGCGCCTACGCCACGCCGCCGAGCCGCAATCGATGTGCGCCGTCATCCCCGCCGCCCCGACCTACGCTGCCATGGAGTCGACGGCGCGGCTATACCCACAATTTGTGCTGCCGGTACCGCACCCGGAGCAGGGTGCCGAGATGCACTTTCTACAGTGGACGTGGGACGCGGCCACGCGCTCGAGTACCGTCCTATTCACGCAGCTAGCCGAGTACAAGGCGCGGGGCGAGTTTGCGCAGCCGCACACGACGCTGACGCACTACACGGACCTAGGCGGGGAGAAGGGGGTCGTGTTGATGCTGGGGCACGTCATGGAGGACAGGGGGGTGCAGGTGGAACATGCGAGGTGGTTGGTCCTGTGCTTGCAGAGGTTCTACGGCGGGTGGGATGCGGCGGTAGACAAGGAGACGGGGGCCGAGGCGTCCATGGCCCAGGAGAGGGCGGCCGAGAGGAGGCGCTTGCTGGAGTGGTTTGCCAAGGGCGATGAGAGGTTCAGCGTGGAGAAGCTGATGGATGAAGCTGAACGGATGGGTTAGAAGCTTGTATGGACCCAAGTGCTGAATGTGTATGGAGTTGTATATCATAGATGTGTGAAGGGTGCGGGTAATTATGCTGATTGGTTTGAGTAATAGCTGGGGCGTTGGAAGGAAAATGCTACGTAGGCTTGTCAACATGAAAGATCATTCTACATATACATATATATTGAATAACTACCCCCAGCGGATAAGTATGTATCTGCAGAGCACGAAGTAGTCCAAAGACAAGCACTCATAACTTGGCACCCTCGACCCGGTTATCTTTCTTCGCTTGCTCCCTCACTAGCCTCCTCAAAATCTTTCCGCTCGGCGACTTGGGAACTTGATCAACGAAGCGAATACCCCCCCGTAGCTTCTTGTGCGGCGCAACTTTTGTGGCCATCCACTCAATCAGCTCCCTCGCCTTTCTGTCACTCGCCGCAACCCCTTGCCGGAGGACTAGGTAGGCTCGCGGAACCTCGGTCGCCAAAGACGGGTCGTCGACCCCAATAACACAGGCATCAGCTACATCGGCATGGCCTATGAGAATGCCTTCCAGTTCCGCTGGTGGGACGGGGAATCCATCTGTATCGAACAGAAGATTGGTCAGAGAGATATGAGAGGTATCTTAAGGGGTAGGGGCGCTTACTGTACTTTATGAGCTCCTTGAGACGATCTACGCAGTAGTAGTTTCCGTACTTGTCGCGGCGGAAGACATCTCCAGTCTTGAAGTAGCCGTCGGGAGAGAAGGCTGCCTTGGTTCGTTCTGTGTTGTTGAGGTATCCCTTAAAGACGTTGGGGCCTTTTACCCAGAGTTCCCCCGCCTGCGGTTCGTATGTCTGGTTAGTACCCTACTCCCCATGGTCTCGCTCGGGGAGGAATCATACCCCGCCGTCGGCAACTTCTGTTCCATCTTCGCCCACAATCTTCGCTTCCATGTTCGGGAATAGCTTCCCCACAGAGCCCATAAACTTGGCCCACTCGTCGACTCTTTGGCAATGCACAACCGGGCTTGTCTCGGACAGTCCAAACCCTTGCTTCACCGGAATCTGCAGTCGCTTCCACACAGCCTCGGTGAGTTCCCTGGTTAAGGGCGCAGCGCCCGAGTGAAGCACCTTGAGTGATGTGAGGTCATACTTGTCCACAAGGGGATCTTTGCTAAAGGCTAGAACCACGGGTGGCGGGATGTACATAAACGTGATGCCGTAGTTTTGGATCGTCTGCAGAACCTTTTCGAGGTCGAAGCGCTCGAGAACGACGACTTGCCAGCCGGAGTAGATGGACATTAATATACAAGATGTTAGACCCTGCCGACGATGGTTAACTACCTCAGCCAGGGACCTTCTTGGCTCGGAGGGAGGCCATACGTAGATGTGGAAAAAGGGGAGAACGCCCAGCTGTTTGTCTCCCTTACCGTCATATCCGCCATACGGCAGCCACTGGCTGCCCTCGACATACTGCATCTGCAAGACGTTGGCAACCATATTGTAGTGTGTCAGACATACCCCCTTGGGCATGCCCGTCGTGCCGGAGCTATAGACGAGGAAGGCGAGATCATGCTTGGGTGAGATGTTGGTTTTCGCGTAACGTCCCGTGTAGCTCGTGCTGCGGATGCTGCAAAAGTGCTTGAACTTCCCGGATGCATCTCGTCGGTCACCAACCAGGATGATGCGGTTCTCTGGGATGCCAGCTCTAGCGGCTGCCTCGAGGGCTGTCTTCAGAAACGGCGCCTGCGTCACAAGAGCTTTGGCACCCGAGTCTTTCAGCTGGAAGGCAAGCTCGTCGACCGTGTATAGCGGATTGGCAGGAGAAACGACACCGCCTGCCCACGTTGCACCGAGGGTCACGATTGGGGTCTGGATTGGCCGTATCAACATCCACCGCACAGCAGGCCAGGGGGTAAAAGCAAGAGCAAACGGTACGCCTTGTAGGGCCACTTCACTTACATCAACGGAATTGGGCGTGTAAAGAGCTAGAACATGACCCTTTTTCCACTGCCACAGGGCCTTCAGCCCCTTGCCAAACTCAATTGATGCACTGCGGAGGTCTGCCCAGCTGTATGTTCGCCCCGTATCCCCGCAAGTCACAATCTCCTTGGTCGGAGGAAATCCCCTACGGTTCTGGTCGAATACAAGAGACCAAAGGTCGACATCGGTGGGGATGACGACAGGCGGGAACGACGAGGCATGCGGCATTGCGAGATGCTAGGGTATCAGGTAGCTTGTTGGATTACCTGTTGAGCTTTGTACAAGAAACAAGCCCCGCCAGCGAGGGCTCTGCAGCGGTAGGCCATGTCAGCGAACGACATCCGTTCGTGGGGTTTTAACTCGGCTGTTGCATTGTCAACCCTCGACACGGTGAGGGGCGGCCAGCATCGGTTCTCCAAAACTCCAACAAAGCGGCTCTCCGCAGTTCGCCCCGGCGCTGGCAGCTGACCGAGCGATGCATGTGGTGAATGCTGATCTCTTCCTTCGATGAGCACAGAGAGCTATTTACCATTTTATGTTTGGTTGGTGCTGTTGTCGCGGTGTGCATGGGAAGCGCTGATGCGGTCAAGCGGGGGGAAATGTGAGGGAAAAAAAACGTGGGGAATAGTTAGCAGAAGGGGTTCCGCATCCCAAGAGAGGAAATGGAACCAGAAAAAACACCAGTTGAGTTAGAAGAGCTACAAAAAACACTAGGAGGGTGCCGATATGTCAAAATGTAAAAACAAGCTGTCCAGCAAAAGAGAAGTTCTCGAGGCGATTTGAACGCCTGACCTATCGGATCCAAACGTGGAGGAACTGCAGCCGATTGCTCTACCCCTGAGCTACGAGAACAAGCAATCTCGAACTTACACAACTCCGATTGTTGCATAATCACATAACTATTTTGGACTATGACCTTGGCTTGATCGAGGGGAGGCAAAGAGGAGAAGTGGTGGAGGCATCGAGAAAAGGTACGCTATGGGTACTTTCTTGCTCCTTCAGAGTGGGTGCACATGATAGCAAAACCCTCCAGACCACCAAGTTGCGAGCCAGTACTCGGACCCTTGAGCTCTGGCCCACTTGTGCTTTGTCCATTCCTCGCCAAGACTAACCGTTCATCAAAAACTGTCATCCCAAAAGCCGGCAAACACGGGGCAAGATTTCGCGGGGCTCATCAGGACCGTGACTGCGCAAATCGAAACACCGTACTACTTCGCAGCAGAAACCGAGCACAGCAAAGGCAGGAATAATCGTCAAAACACAACCGCACCTCTTTCATGCCGCGACAACAGGATCTAATAATAGTGCCGAGATGGATGTTCACATTGTCGCTGGCTCGATTTCAATAATTGCGAGATGCATACCCTTCTACACAGGCTCGACCTCACAACTTTGGGACGAATTACGAGATACACGGCCGAGGCGCCAACAAATAAATTCAGATGGTAACAGCCCATAAGGTCACATGTATGGCCTACAATACCGCCAGCAAGGGTTTGGCCGGTCGATGCCCTCTCATAACGAAGGTGCAAGTGCACACCCCTAAGCTAAATCGTAAACTGGTGTCGCAGGGGTATGAGGCAGATCGGATAAGTCAGTGCTCCCAGGTGCGACACCGCCGAGACGGCGCTTGGCGACGATGTCCGGTAAAGCGGCCCAAGTTACTCCAAACAGGGAGCGCAGGCCCGACCTGGGGTACTGCTCAGAGCAACATCGGGCATCTTATACCCCGGTCCACTTGATCGCGTAGATCCCCCGGGCGAGCCAGCGTTCAAGCGCCCGAGAGAGAGGTACACATTGGTGGTATCCAGGGTTTGTTTTGGGCCAGCGACAAGCCTCCTTCACCCCGGTTTTCTCTCCCCTTGGAACGGAGTTTCTGTTTACCATCACCTTGGGCATGCTTGGTAGGATCTTCAAGACAACCCCGTGCGACAATCCATGGTGCTGGGCGGATCAGGGTGCGATCTAGCGTATAAACGAAGATAGGAGTGCTCATGCGTATAAGATCCCCGAGATATCCAGACCTACAATGGTGTTTTCCTTTCCATATCAGCTAGTACTGCCTCATTCTCCCTTTCTCTTTTCTTGTCGATATTCCTCTCACAGCTGTGCTGTTTTTAACTTGAATATATTTCATTCACGCACATCGCAATTTTTTGGGTTTTTTTTCGATTACTATATAGATAAACACCCAGCAGCCATACGCTTCTGGCCAACATGTTTTTCAAGACAGCAGTTATCTTCTCTCTCCTCACCTCGGCCCTAGCCCTTCCCGCTCAAAATGTCAACCGCATCACCAGACGAGCCGTCCTGTCGGCACAAGACTACTCTGAGTTCCAAGTTTCAGATGGGGTGGGCGGAAACGCCCTTGCTGAAGTGCAGGCAAAGTTTCCGGTACGCATCCTCTTTCTCGTCGACGATAAGAATATCCCAACTAACAGCAATGGCCAGGTCAATGTCGCCAATGTTGATGCAGCTGACCTCGCAATCCTTAAGAAAGCCGGCCAGGTAGCCGAGTCCGCCGAGATAGCAGCGGGCGGGTTCAACGAGGCCATCGAAGCGGCGGGGGGCACTAAGACTGCTGCAGGGGAGGCTCTGCAGGTCGGCAAGATCAAGAACAAGGTCCTGAAGTTGCAACTATCAGTTCTGGTCCTCAAGGCCCAGATCGCCGCCGGCGAAGACAGGGCCGCGAAGTTGGCCGAGCAGACGACCAAGCTCAACAAGAACATCCAGCTTGACGAGGCCGCGGCCGGGCAGAAGAGCACGAGTGTGGATTTCCAGGGGAGCAGCCAGCCGTAAAGGGGCTGTTGGGGATGAGGTTTGTATGGGAGGGATCAAGGGAGAACATTGGTCTGCAATTACTGGTTGCTATCACTCAGTGAGAGCGATGCGCCGAGACGGGAATATGCCTGTCGGTTTGTGAGGAAAGTCAAAGGAAATAGCGAAATCCAAATCTCCGTTTAATGGTTGGGCAAACGTGGCCTTGTACTGTCAATGTAATCCCGTGTTCGCTGGTTGTGCATAAATACAACTGTGGCTCTTCGTTGCTACAGATAGGCAGAATGTATGCTGGTATTTCAAAGTTTATTTCGGATACAATTATTGCTGATGCTGTAGTCTAGTCTGGCTCGGCAAGAGTCCCGGGAGAATACGATACCAAGCTCTGGCTATCGGCCAAGCAGTAGTCGGCGGGAATAGTTGTCGAAAGCCAATCGCATAAGACCACTGGTATTGAGAGACAATGATGCCAGCGGGCCGTCGCACGGGGCAGGTTCCTTCCAAAGGGCCAGGGGCGTCCCTGGCTGGAACGATGTCGGGACCCCCGCTTTCTTGGATGCCAGAGTTCCTCATTGGACTACTCGCCCTGCGGGCTGGTACGTACCTCAAGCTTCCAGGAACATTCCTTGCCTTAGGTAGGCTCAGTAGTGTCAAGGCTGCCTCTTGTCAGATGCAACTGCAAATGCAAATGCGCCTACGCTCTAAGACGAAAACCACAAACCTGACGACCAGACAAGCGCTATCGCAAGTATTACTTCAAGCACGTGTTAGCCAGACACCCACCCCTTTAACCATTGCTTGGCGCCGACTCTAGCTTCGCCGTCCTGCTCGTCCTGCTCCCGTCTTCTCCACTCCACATCGGGGGCTTCTACCGTGACGTTCCTGCCTCTCAGCCGACTTCCCCAGCACCGCGATCTAGTACCGATAACCCGACAAACCAACGCCAGCACCACCACGCCGAATTCCGCATCGCTGTGGGACTGGTTCTGGTTGCATGTAGCGTGTTCCGGGTCTTGCCAATGGTGGCGAAACCACTGCCCAAACCACACCGGGAGCTCTCGAGCGCGTTGAATGAATGCAACCTCTAAACCCATTCCTCGGCGCTTTCTCCAAGAGCCCCTTTCTCGCCCAGTGCTCGCCCCCTCAACAGCACATCCTCCTCGTCCCCTCGACGGATGTACTTCTCGACTCCCGCGACACAGAGACCGGTGCCCCGCTGTCGGCCACCATAAACTCGGAAGAGTTCCTGGGAAGCCATGTGCTGCGCGTCCCGGCGCCCAAGGGCCATGTCGCGGGAGGGAAGGATACGGCGCAGAACCTGCGCGAGATGAGAGGGAAACAGAGAGTGTACAATACCATTAATGGCCGGAGCATTGTTATCAAAGACAACTACATCTTCACCAACAAGGGTGCGCACCATTCCCTGAGCTGCTCGGCATCCAGGCGCCAATAGCATCATGTACTGACACTCTCCCTAGGATTCAAGTCCCTAGTGCAGGCCAACTTGTCGAGCGATGCCATCTGGTACCCCGATACTCTCGATCCAAGACCCTTCTTGATCTACTACATATCACGTCCGTTAGTGGGATCGTGGGACGAGGTCAGAATTACGCCTGCATCGCTCCCAGCCGAGCCCAGCAAAGAGCAAAGCCCCCAGCGCAGACCGCCGGCACCCGAGTCCAGCGATTCTACCCTGCCGCGAAAAAAGGACATCAAGAGCTTCCATGAGCTCCTCAATAACTTCCCTGCCATTGCCAGGCAGATGCAGGGAGGGCTCGAAAGGCTGTTTCGTGAATTCACACTTGTGTTTGAACGGCCGCTACCGCCTCCACCATCTGCGAACAACATCCCCGATCCAGAACCCGAAGGTCCCATAACAAGCGCCATGAAGAAGGCGAGATCTAATAGTACTGGCAATATGGGGTCGGCCAACGGGATCCGGGCCCTGGACGGTTTCTTTGCCGAGGACGACGAGGATGTTATGAGGGCTTCGCTGGAGACTGCTGTAACGGCCGCCATTGATCTCTTCCAAAGTGTTGATAAGCAACAGCTTTCGCTCCTAGGCGCAACGACCGAGCTAACGGGGCCGATTGTTGAGCGAATGATCGAGCGCTATGTGACAGAGAACGTGCATCATCTCATGTTTCCACGGCTGGCTGGGCTCAAGCGACCAGATGATCTCGAGTTGGAAGCCAAGATTCGCCAAATGGACTTTATCGACATATCACAATTGGGCATCGTTATTGAAGGCGGATCTCGGGTCAAGCGTGATGTCATTTCGCAACTGAGACGCGCAGTTGAAGAGTTCCGGAAGATGCCGAATGCTACTTGTCCCCAGGAAATGATGGAAATTCTCCTTTCCACCACAAGAGCGGCAACGCAGCTCACCGATACACCCAGGCCGGGGGAGGCGCCGCGGCCAGCTTCTGAAAAGCCCATTTTGACTATCAACGCAGATACTTTAGTGTCGCTGTTGTTGTACGTGGTGATAAAAGCCCAGATCAAACACCTGCAAGCGAGGCTGATATACATTCGACATTTTATTTTTATTGATGACGTCGACAATGGCGAAATGGGCTACGCCTTGAGCACGTTTGAGGCAGTCCTGTCGTACCTTGACCGCGAATCTGGGGGCCTGCGCAGAGCAAGCCGGCGTAATAAGGCCCTCTGGGACGCAGCATCAAAGGGCAACATGACAGAACTCAGAAACATCATGGAGCCCGATGCTGTTGACGATGATGACGATATTGCCGTTGATTCACCTCTGTCCTCTAGGAGGGCGTCCTCAAGCGGCTGGAGCTTTACAAACGGTACATCAACGCGTTCCTCGTCAGCCTTCACCGTTTCTGAGAGGTTTTCTCTTGGCTCTGGTCTCAGCCATGTCTTCCCCTTCCAGGATGGGGGAGATGTAAAGGATAGTACTGTCTCCCCCCTACCAAAAAGAGTTAAGAAGGTAGCTATGGACACCAGGAGTATGTCGAGCAGTTCCGAGGTCTCTTTCCGGTCGAGAGCAACGAGCATCGGTACCTTCGCCAGTGGCATCGAGGGCGACACTTCGATTGAGCGCCTGTCCC